GGGAAAATGACCGATGACAGTAATAAGATGTGCCACAGTCTTATTATGACAGAAACTCACTTCTACATATTAGGGCAAAAGGTTAGGGTGCTGTAAAGAGAGACCCAACCAATCAGTGGCTTGCGTACAAAAAGAAGAGTATTTCTCTCTCACTAACAGTTGTGAGGTGAGCACCCAAGTGAGTGGGGTAGGGTTGTTACGTGCCAAGTTCAAGAACCCAGTTCCTTTTACCCTGCTGCTCTGCCTTCACTGGGGTACAATATCTGTGCCACACTTACGGTAAAAATGGTGACTTGTTCACCTGAAATTCAAATGTGACTGGGTGTTTTGTGTTTTATCTGGCAGGTCTCCAGTAGGATATTGTAGAGTCTGCAACCGTGAAAGCTGGGTTCTGACAGATCACAGCAGGGGACAGGGGAAAGGAAATGGGGTGAGGGCACACCTGCTTTCCTGAGGTCGAGGTCCAGCAATGTCACGTACCATTTCTGCTCTTTTTCCACTGGCAAGAACTTAAATCACATGATTAGCCCTAACTGCAAAGGAGACTGGGAAATATTGGTTAGTTAAGTGCCCCCTCAAAACCTGGGTGAACAGATTTTAGGGGACAAGCAGCAGTCTTTATCATATGAACCTCCTGGATTGATCTTCTATGTCACTTATTTCTTCTTTTCACATCTTTGTGTTTTTGCTCTACGTTTTAGGAAATTTTCTTGATTTTACCTTCCCAGTGATCTCTTGAATATCTTATTTTAGCTATCATTATGTTTAATCTCCAAAATCTGTTTCTTATTTTGTAATTATTCCTTTCCACTAGCAACTTTCATGTTTTACAGAGGTAGTATCTTCTCAGATCTTTCTAAGGATATAATTAGAATTTTTAAAGATTTTGCTGCACCATTATAATTTTCCATTTTCTAGAATCACTTATTATTTTCTCTCTCTCCCTCCCTCCTTCTCTCTCTCTCTCTCATGCTTCTAGCTGTCTTCATAATTTTGGTGCTCCTGGTTGCCTGTTATAAAATAATAGACCAGCCCTGGTCAGGTGGTTATGTTGGTTGGGGTGTCATTCCATAAATCAAAAGGTTGTGAGTTTGATCCCCAGTCAAAGCACATCCCTAGGCTGTGGGTTCAATCCCTGGTCAGGGTGTACATATGGGAGGAGGTTTCTCTCTCTCTCTCTCTCAAATCAATAAACATATATTTGGGTGAGGATTCAAAAAATGACAGACCAAGTTTATTAATTCCAGTGACTGAGTTGGCCTTCTCTGTTGCTTATCTGGTCCCTGATGCAGTCACCCTCCTGAACAGGAGGGTGGGTGGGGTTTTCTGTCAGGCTTGACTGTAGGGTCAGTGGGCGGGTGGTTGTTGGAGAGATGGCGGAGGGTTGATAAATGTCAGAGTGACAAAAGCTTTACTCTGGGATGCCAACACCGCACTAAACACACTGATTTCTCCTAGACATGCACTGGGTTTCCGGAGAGTGAACCTTCTGGGGTTTTGCTGCATGTGCACATGCACACACGTGCACATGTGTGTGCTGCTCGTCCGAAGGGAAGGGCCCGTCACACTCCGTTCTGGAGATAAGAGGGGAGTGATGACTGGTGCAAGCTTCTGCAGGGACAGACCTACAACCCCCCTGGCTTTTAGGTCCGCTTTTATCCGTCCTCCTCAGTACTTGCTAATTACAAACTCGGAGCCTCTCTGGGATTTTGCCGGGGAGACTGGCTCTCACTCCTTTGCCTATGTCTGGGCTATGGCTTCCTTCCCTGGGTTAAGCCATCACTGCGCATCACCTACTGCTTGAAACTTGTCTTTGCACCCGACACCCCTCTTCCCTGCCATTCTCTTGGCTGTTGCGTGTTTCCATCCTTTTCTGTTGTTTGGGGGAGGGGTCTCAGAAGGAAGGGGAGACAATCACTTGTGCTCAAACTACTGCCTTAAACCTTCAACATTACATGCTTTGCGGATCTCCAAGAATATTTGTTTATTTTGCAACTGCTCTATTTAACACACTGTTAAATAGTGAGGACTTGGTTGTGCTGAGCTCTTTGATGTGTTTGTTTATGCAAACGGGCATCAGGGCTCAGAAAAGCTGAAGAGCTTTTTGCAATGGAGTAAAGCAACCTGGACTTTCCAGGGCCGTCTGGGAGACCCGGGGGGAGGGGGGGGGCGGAGGAAAGAGCACAGAAAGCTAGTGACACGCCATGACGTCATGACGTAAACCCCTCCCCGTGATCTCCAATCTCTCAAAGGGATTCTAAATTTACAGAATGCCCGGTATGACGATTTCTCAGGGAAGTTGATGAGGGTTCTTAATTCTGTGGTAGGGCTGAGGGGGACAAAACGGAGAAGGCTTTGCAGACCACCAGAACCTTTGGCAAGAGGAGACCATGAACGCGTATATCCCAGGAATCCGGAGAAATTGCGTGGAGGGTTGGAATCTCCCCCTTCTGTGGAACTGGCTCTGAGGCAACACAGAGCCCTCTTGGGTTAGGAGAGCCCCAGCTGGCACCTGCTGACTTGGCCCCCTTACGTTCACCCTCCACATGGACTTGGGTGTTCTCCCTAAAGGGTGATGTGATTGCAGCATCCCCCTGCTTTACATTATTGTCCACATTTTTTATCCTGAAATCCAACACCCTTCACCATCTGGCCTCCATCTACCTTGGCAGCTCCATTTGCTGCTCACAGGACACCCTCCACTACATCAAACTTTTCCCTGTTCCCTAAAATGCTAAGCCTTCCCGTCCTCTTCTTTACCTAGTAAGGCCCATTCATTCTCAAGACCAAAGGTAATCATTGTCCCAGTCTTCTCTCTTACAAAGAGTTAGCCATTCCCACCTGTGTTCACCAACACCTTGTTCAGAGGGAAGTTTCTTTTCTCCTGGGTTCCTGGAAGGACTAGGTTTTATTAACTTCTGGGCCCAAATGTCCAGTATAGGCCAAGTTCAGGCCTTCCTCTGGGCTTCTGTGGAGCCCTGGGAACAATTGTAGCCACAGCTATCGCCCTGCATTGGAACTCTGGGTTTACGTGCCGATCTGCTGCACTCAGAGAAAACATGAGCTATGTCTTCTTCATTGTCAGTGTTCCCAATAGCTAAGAGAAGAGGGAGGAAGAGAAGAAAAATGGAGGGAAAAATGAAAAGGGGGGGAGAGAGGAAAAGAAAATGAAGAAAATAAAGGAAGCAAACAAAAAGGGAAGTCAGAGAGTGACTAAATTATTAAGACTCAGAAGTCTGGATAACACAAAAACCCTAGTCCATGAATTTCATCAGAAAAGGGCTAAAAAGCCCTGGCTGGTGTAGCTCAGTGGGTTGAGTGCCAGCCTCCAAACCAAAAGGTCACAGGTTCGATTCCCAGTCAGGGCACATGCCTGGGTTGTGGGCCAGGTCTGCAATTGGAGGCATGTGAGAGGCAACTGATTGATCTTTCTCTTGCACATTGATGTTTCTCCCCCTCTTTTTCCTTCCTTTCCCCTCGCCCTAAAAAAAATGAATAAAATCTTTTTTTTTAAAAAAAGGACAAATAAGATTGGTCAGCAAATTATGTCCCGTGATCAAAGTAGGGGCCTGGTACATTGGTTCTGGGTCTTAGTGGCAGCAAAGACTCCCCAAAAGTCACAGTAGCTGTCACTAAGGCTGTAGGTTTAAAGGATAAGGATGCCGAGCTCCCAGACTGAAAGGAGACCAGCAGCCCTGGCTTGGTCATCAGTCGAATGAAGAGCTTGGCCTTGGAAGCAGACACATCTGATCTGAATCCCAGCTCAGTCGCTAGGTCAAGTCATTTAACCTCTCCAAACTTTTGTATCTTGAAAATGTGGGTACTGCTACCTTGCAGGATATTATAGTAAGAGGGTACAGCCAGCACCCACCCCCCCACACACACAAAGAAGGATTTGTAATGAAGTCCAGAACTCAGGGTGTCCAGGAAATAATAAAAACATAGGATGTCCTCACCCCCACAAGTCTGAGTTGGAGATGGGACACGTGGAGCAGGGCCATTGAGTTATTTAGCATACCAACGGTTTTACAAATAACATCTAGAATGGTCATTTAACACACCTATAACTTTTGACTGGTTTCACAGATGTGTTAAATGGCTGTGGCTACGCTTTGAATCAGGGGGATGGGAGTGACTTCCACCCAGGATGTAACTGGGAGACAACTCCCCCTGGTTAGAGAGCCAGTGTGAGGGCTTGGAGATGATTGGCTCCACACCACAGGGCCTTGCCTGCCTGGACTTACTACGGCAGCCCAGAAAAGCTGGAAAAATACAGGAATGCTGGCAGGTATAACTGATTGTGGGAGGAGTTGGAAATGAGATACTGAGGAAGATTGACACTGGGATTTAAACTGAGGCATGGCAGCCATTCGGGGGGAACCTTACAGCTTTGCGAGGGGTACAACCATGAAGCTTAGGAAGCCAGAAAGCAAGATGTAGCAGCGATGCAAAGCTCTGTCTTAGCAGTTTGGAAGAATGCAGGAGAGATGCTGCGGTAGGGAAGGGGGTGAAAGGACTCTTGCAGGTGCCACGCGGGTTTGGATTAAGAATTGGAGATCCTGGTGACAAAGCTGGTGATGCCTGGAACAGACAGGCCTGCTAGCTGAGCACAGATTACAGGGAAGAACCGGGGGCTGCCTGAGCCACAGACTTCTGTTGCTCTTCCCGAGATACGGTACCCCAGACTGGGCAAAGGGGGAAGGAAGGACTGTGGGTGTGGGGGGGAGGATTTAAGAGACTTTGGGATTTTAACAAGACATTAAGTCATTACTCCAAGTCTGCATAACTTTTTAAATAAATAGTTCCTTTCCTTTTCAACAATGTCTGGCCTTGAGAGCTATAACTCCCTGGTGGCAGGCAAGGCAAACCTAGTACAGGGCAACCCCAGGAGAAGGAGGGCCACTCAGTCATAGTATTTTGTCCCCCGGGGCCATTTGGTGATATTATGGAGATCAAAGGTAGTAGGTGCTCAGCAGATGTTTGGGAGACAGCAACTTTTATTATTTGGGATTGCGAGAATTCATACATGCCAGCTTGGGTGACTACATTTAAAATATTTTGTATGGAGATTTTCAAGAAGTAGGAAAATGTATGTGAAATAAAAGTGCTTCATAAACTGTGAAGTGTCCTGCAACTGTTAGGGAATTAGTTGGGAAGTCTTCTTTTAGAGCTGGGAAAATTCCGGTTTTGGATTCGGGCAGAAGCCCGGGTCCGTTCCTGACCCTGCCGTTTACTTGCCATGCAGTCTAGCATCCGTCCCGTTCTGTCAGTCTGTTTCTGCAACTGTCAGAGGCGCAGAACCCTAACTTCGCAGGGTCGTTGAGAATTCCAGAGGATCAAGTTTGCAAAGTTCCCGGGCACATCCCTTCCTGGGTGGGAGGCAGGGTCAGGTCCCCTGTGACAGGTCAGGTTATGGGGGGTCAGTCCCAAACCAGGTGTCACAGTCACATTCTGCCACCTGGCTACAAATGAAGGAGGCCCTTCATGCCAGAGGAGCAGGGCCGCGTCTTTTGTATTTATAGGAAATCTGGGTGGACACTAAACATCTGCAGAAAACACTGAAATCTGCACTGTGGAACCAGACCTAAACCAGGGCAAGAACCTGGGAATGAACCCTGCTGAGCTGTCCCAGACGCAAGCAATAAATTATCGTCACTACGGTCAAAGACTCTCATTATGGGTTCACCTTACCCCATCCCTCACGTCCTACTCCCTGCCGCTGTCATTTTTCCTAGATACAGAGTAAGTTCTCCATCAGTCTAAAGTTGAAAAGGCTGGCACTAACTTCCTACAAACAGTCCAGAGCCCTGTGAGGAGTCTGCACTAGCTCTCGCCTCTAGGCAATCACCTGGTCCCAGGTAAGCCCCCTAAGTGGCTGCTGCTTCAGAGCTGGCGAGTGCAGTGCAGAGTGTCATCTCCGAATCAAGGGAGGCCCGAGTGTGAACTCCGCCTCTATACTCGCTGCCGTACGACTTCACCTGTCCTCACTCCTGTTTCCTCATCTTACTCCCCTGAGGGTTGCTGCGACAACTAAATGAAATAAAGGATGTGAATGTGACGGGTGGAATCTGTGTCATACAGTGGATGCTCAGTTACTGTGACTTCCTTCCCTTTCTCCGTCCTCCGTGGAGGCCCATCAACTCAGTCTCCCTTTGCTTTTCAGAGCAACCACCCACTGCGTCTCCCTTGAAATTCCACTTTCTCCCAGCTGCAGAGAGACCACGCCCCCAGGAGCCCCATTCTTGAACGCCCCAAATAAGTACGCAGGTCCTTTGTAGTGAAGGGTTTTACTGCTAATCACTCGGGGAACAGAGGCAGGTTGGGGCGGGGATAACGAGTCACACACAGGGGGCAGTGTCAAGGTCCCTGGATCACAGCTCCCTAACAGCTTCCCTTTCATCTCTAAGGCAGGACCTCAGGCCATTCTCCAGGCCAAGGAGGCCCCTTCCATTGGGCAGACTGCCCCCCGAAGCCCAGCTGGGGCGCAGTGGATGGGGACTAGCAGGCCACTGCACTGTGTCCTGAGCAGTTCATACACGGTTTGGAGGATCTTCAGTGATGTGCATCGCATAGGTACTTCCTCAAAGGCCAGGGACCGTGGCCCTAATGAAAGGAGCATGTACTAAACCTATCCTATTTCTCTTTCACCGCAAGGAGATGAAGCCAAGGCCAGATCTTCTGACCTTCCAAGGCAAGAAATTGGATTGGAAGGGGGCAAGGATTTTTATTCAAGTCCCTCCTCAAGGCATCCTGGAGATCGGGCTTCACAGGAAACCATTCTCCAAAGTGGGGTGAAGGGGTTGAGGTCAAGGAGGCAGCAGCAGATCCTAAAGATCTTTCTATACTCCCAGTGGGTCTCTCTCTCCCCCTCACTCTTCTTCAGGTGGAGTCTTTCCCAGCCGGCTCTCCCAGGTGCGTTTTCTGGTGGCGGATGAGATTGGAGCTGCGGGAGAAGTGTTTCCCACACAGGGTGCACCGGTAGGGCTTCTCCCCTCTGTGGGTCCTCTGGTGGGCTCCGAAGTTGGAGATGTCGCTGAAGGTCCGCCCACATTCGGCACACTCGTAAGGCCTCTCGCCTGTGTGGGTGCGGTGGTGCACCCCAAAGCTGGAGCTGTTGCTGAAGCTCTTCCCGCACTCACAGCAGATGTAGGGCGCGGGCTCCAGGTGGGTCCGGTGATGCACAGCCAGCGTGGCGCTCTGGCTGAAGCTCTTCCCACAGATGTCACAGCGGTACGGCCGCTTGCCCAGGTGATCTTGCTGGTGCGTGGTGAGATCCGAGCGCCGCCGAAAGCTCTCCTGACACTTGGGGCATTTGTAGTGCTTCTCTTCCAGGTGGATCCGCTCGTGCCGGATGCGGTTGGAGCTCCTCGAGAAGCTCTTGCCACATTCAGAACACTTGTAAGGTTTCTCACCCGTGTGGATCCGCTGGTGTGTTCTCAGGTTGGAGGTATTATTGAAGGTTTTGCCACACTGGGCACATATAAAGGGCTTCTCCTCGGCCTCAGGCCTCGGCTGAGCAACGGGGTCCCCCGGCTCTCCAGTGGGGACAGTGACTTTCTGCCACGGCCGTTTCGGATGGACCCCTTGTGGCCCCACCGACTGGCTCTCTTGCCCATGCTCTTTCTCCCCAGCTGGGATCCGAAAACCCTCCGAGTCATCCACTCTCCAAGGCTTGCCCCGCTCCCCTTCCTCGGGCAGGTGCTGCTCTGGATCCTGCTCCTTCTCACTGCCCATGTCCGAGCCCTGAGAATGAACACAAGTGGCCAACACCTTTATTCCGAGGGTTGGGCCAGGTCACAGGGAAGCATCTCTTCTGTCTGGAGGGATATACACCTTCCCCACGACCCAGCCATCAGAAGTAACCTCAATGAATGGAAATAACTGCAGAGAATGCCTTTACTTACTTTCAAGCGAACACACTTCCAGATGTTTAAAGCTACCAAACCAGAGCAAAAAGAAGACACAGCTTTGTCTACCACCAACAAATACTATTTGTGAAATTTTAATATACCACTTTTCTTGACACCACTAAACAAAATGGTCTAGACTATAACTTACGTGCAAGTAAAGGAGCTTCCACTGTAGAACGATTGCAGTTTTTCAGCTTTTCAGAATGAGTTCAACTGTAAGTTAACTGAAATTCCTTTTATTTTTTAATCTTTCTTTAGAAAAACCTTCCTGGACAGCATCCCTCCATGTGCCTGCTTTCGAAAATGATCACGACAGAACCTCTGATTCCCCAGACTCTCCTGTTCGTGCATAAGGCCTGGCTTTGAGTCCTCATGAGGGTTCTGCCGCCCTTCCCTTCCCTCCCTAGGATCTCACCATAACCCAGCAACCGAAGAGTTAACCTCTGAGCCCTCCAGACCCACTGCGGGGCACTTAGCCCGAGTCCATTCTGATTGGTCGGTACACGCTTCCCCTCTCATACACCACATACAGCACGTGTGCATGTGGGTGCACACCACGTGCACAGCCATCCTCACACGAGATACACTCAGCCACATTCTCACACCACTCGTACATACCACAGTCACATACACAGACACGCTCATACCACACTCTCACAGCACACGGCCACACGCATGCATATCAAATACACTGCACACAGCCCTCCCACACATACAGCCACACACATGGCTACACAATCGAACGCCATACACACATCTACACTCACACAACACAGCCACACACATGCCACCGACACACAAACCACACTCCCCCCACACAGCTACACACACACAGTACCCACTGCACAGGGCCCACTGGTGCAGACCTCGGTAAGTGCTTGCTAAGCTGCACACATCCCCTGGAGGCCCTACAGCTAAGGACAGGGAACGAGGAGAAGACAAAAGTGCTTCTGATAAGAGGGGAGTCCGGTGTTGCCTCTGGGCCCTGAAGCAACACCATCTCAAAAGGCCGAGTGGGCTGCGGGAGACACTGTACAGAGACGTGAACAAAGGGGTGAGGGCGGGAACGAAGGGGTGAGGGGTGACGGGACGCTGACGACAGAAAAGGAAAGACTGATACTTCCTGCAAGTCAGCACGTACTAGGGGAAACAGCAGCATGAAGTGACGGTCGGGGCACTGACTGCATTTAGGGCAGGAGCTCGATGGTGGCGCACCATGTTTACAACGCTGCAAATCACTCAGCCACTCCAAGCCTCCGTTCCCACAGCTCTAACCGGTGATAACCGACCTACGCTGCAGGACTCTGCGTGAGACAACACCCATGACGTGCTCAGTGTCGTGTGTGGCCCTTACTTGGCATTCAGCCAACAACCGCTGCTACTACAGTCATTGAAGACACTATTTCCTAGACCTGCAAAGAATACAAGGATGAAAAAGATCCCCTTCGGTGATCTTGTTAGGAAAAAAATTGTTTTTAATTAAAAAAAGGTACAAGACCATATATAACCTAAATTGAGAAATATGGACAGGGCTTCAAGTCTTTAAGAAGTGGGGTCAGAAAACTTTTTCTGTAAAGGGCCAGAGAGTAAATGTTTAGTAACTATTTGGGGCCACAGCAGCTCTGTTGCAGTTATTCAGCTCTGATGTATCGTAAAAGCAGCCATAGACAATATGTGGCTGTCCCAATAAAACTTTATTTGAAACAAAAGGAGGCAAGCTATAGCTTGCCAATCTCTGTTACAAAGTGTTTCTTGAGGAATCTAGCTAAGCAGTGTTTAAAGAGGCCTGCTTCACTTTCAAATGTGCAGCTAATTTATTATCCCTCATTTATTATCTCTCTCTCCTCCCCCACACACCCGCCCTGCCACTAAAACATAACTCCGTGAGGGCCAGGGTGTTTGTTTTATTCACTAATATAACTTCAACTCCTACAGTAATGGCGGTCAGATAGAGTAGATCCCTGATAAAATATTTGTGCATGAGTGGGACAAATCAGGGCCAGGCCCGTCTCCAGATCCCATGTTGTGCTTGTGAACATTCTCACCCACTGCTCCTGGGCAATCTCTCCATTCCTGCCTGGTTCCTCCTTCAAACCCCCACAGAATCCTGTACTTGCTTTTACTGTGATTTGCAATTAGCCATTTACATGTCTGTTTCCCCTAGTAGTTCCTAAGCAACTTGAGGATAGGGACTGAGTCATTTTGGTAATCTCTCCCCAGCACAAGGCCCAGTACTCAAGTGTTTTTAAGTGTATGAGGGAATATAATCTTGATTCACTCCCTGCCCCTGCCCACCCCACTTAGGGCCCCATGCAGTGGGCTGCACAGCCTCAACTCACTTCCAATCCTGCTACTCTGAGAACCTACCCTTTACCAGGCTGATTCTTCCTAGGTCTGAATGCTGGGTCAAAGTAAGAGCAGAAAGATTTAGAGCTGTGGTTTCTACCCTCAAACAGTTTACAGTACAGTTCAGTGAAACAAGCTGTGAACTCCAGAAACTCTCGTACAATAAAAGGTTAAGTTGCAGGAGCACGGGGAATGTGCCTTAGTCACTTTTGTACCTGCTCTTCAGTGCCTCGTACAGCAGCTGGCACACTATACGAGAACCAATAATAATAACGGTTAACATTTTAAAGCTCACACCAAGTGCGAGGCCCTGAACTAAGCACTACATGTGAATCATCTCATTTCATTGTCACAACTTATGTTAGATGAGGAAACTGAGGCACAGAGTAATTGTAACTCGCCCAAGGGCACAGAGCAAGTGAGTGGCAGAACTAGGACCTATGTCCATCACTCCAAAGCCAGTGCTTTTATGCACCACACTAGTGTTGAGGGAGAGAGAGGGGAGAAGGAAATGAAAGAGAGAAGGAGGGAAAGAGAGAGGGAGAAGGGAAGGGAAGGGAAGGGAAGGGAAGGGAAGGGAAGGGAAGGGAAGGGAAGGGAAGGGAAGGGAAGGGAAGGGAAGGGAAGGGAAGGGAAGGGAAGGGAAGGGAAGGGAAGGGAAGGGAAGGAGGGAGGGAGGAGAGAAGAAAAAACAGTGCCACAGGATTTCAGACCACATGGGCATCTCTCCCTGAAGAGATCTCGGATGACCAGCTTCATGGAAAAGGTGGTATTCCAACTAGGACTTGCAGAATGGGTAAGACCGGGACTCACAGAGATGGGGAACCCCCTATCTACTGAGAAGACAGTAGCAGGTAAGGTACAGAGAATCGCTTTCACATCACATTTCAGAGATCTGGGGGAGAAAGGGGCCCATCCAGCTGGTCTTCCAGGAGGCTCAGCGGTACAAGGAGGACCAACAGTGGAAGGGATTCTGGCAGTGGAGGAGGAGTCAGGTGTACACAGTAAGAGCCAAGAAGATGGGGCTGGTTAGATGCTGCAGGCCCAAGGCCTACACTGGAGGGAAGGGGCCATGCTGGAAGTTGGTCTGAAGGGCCAAAGTTGGGTTCTTTAGGGTCAAGTCAAGAACTTGGGGGAGGAAGGGGTAGAGGAGCTTGGAAAAACCAAAGAAGAAGAGGGAACTGTGCAGGGTACCTGGATAACAGGTCAGTGATGGTGGGGGCGGGGGGGGGGGAATCAAAAGAGTCAGAGGGTCAGAGAAGGTGGTCAGGACAGGGGGCGCAAACGCTGCAGTCAGAGGTGGCGGGGAACCGGACCCAAGAAGCTGGGCTGTGTACTGTGGGCAGGGAAGAAGCCCAGGGCGAAGCCTGAGGAATCGGGCGTTCTGGAGGACAGGGGCTGGGTTCGGAGCTGCTAGCGGGCTTGGGCCGGAGGGGTGGGAGGAGAGGGGCTGACCCCAAAGATATGGTCAGTGGCAGGGGGACTGGAGTACTCAGAAGGCCAACAGAAGGGACAGGGGTTAAGGACTGGGGCCAGCAGTCTGACGCGCGGGCTGGGGAAGGTGGACAGGGGTCGGGATCTCAGGGCCCCATTTGCCCTCACTGGATCCGGGGAGCAAAGCCACAACCTCTGGCTCCCCGGAGAGATGGAAGGAGCCAAGCTCAGAGTCCCCACGAAAGCATATCCACCTCCCCCGTGTCCCGGGGCCCAACCTGAACGCACCTCGCTCCCGCGGCTCGGTCAGGGATAGAGCTGCCTCGGTGGGCCGGGAGAGGGGCCGGAGCCGGAACCAAGAAAGGACTCACCCTGCCGTTCCAGGATTGGGTTCTGAGAACTATCTTCCTTTCCCATTGGCTGTAGTAGCTGCCACACCGCAAGAAACCGAGCGGGACCGCCAATAAGCTTTGGACTCTGCGGTGGCCTGCTGGGAGTTGTAGTCCTAAGGAAAATCGTAGACTCGATGAAGAAATTTTCCAAGTTTTGAGCCCAGCGGTGGACACTGAGTTTCCTCCTAAGGTTGTCAAATTTCCTTCTGCGCTTCGGCGTTAAAAGCCCAATGTGCCGGGCCACTGGTCTGGGAAGAGGTAGAATGTGTAAGAGCTGCCATTACCCCATGAGTTGGTGAGTGTTGCCGGTCCTGTAGACATCCCACGAAGCTTGGAGTTCCCGAGCCTCCGTCGAGGTTCATAATTGGAAATCAAAGGATTGTAGAACTGGAAGGAGTTTAAAGATCAACAAACCCAATCCACTTGTCAGAGAAGCTAGAGGTTCCCTGTCCGAAGAGCCGCCTTTGGATCTCCTGACACCCTGGCACAGGGATTTTTCTGAGTCCTACGTAGTGAAACCTGATTGTTGCTCATCAATCCTGACGGAACGAGGATTAGGATTTCTTTTCCTTAGGCTTCAGTTATAAAAGAAAAAAAAAGCCTAAATGAATAGGTAGCCTAAATGAGCAGGCCTGTCATATCTTCACAGCGTTTCATTGCAAAGACAATAGTCTTCAGGGCTGGATAAACCAGATTTAGAATCCCAGTTCTAGCACCCAGCTATTTGGGAGCACTATTTTCCTCCGCTGTAAAATTCCTGGCAGAATTGTTGTGAGGATATATCAAGCTTCTGCCTCCACAAATGACAGGTTTCTTTCCTGCTGGTAAATTCTCGGGTGAAGCCAGCGTGAACAATGTGCGTTTTAAGATTGGGATATTCAGGAAAGTAGTTTTGAAACTGAGTGTGGATGGATGAAATATAAATACCCCCTATACTATTACTTTATAAATTGGTTCAAATAAAATGCTCAGAAGGTAGGCTCAGAAATAAAACTGTGACTTTATTTTTAACTGTGATTAAAGCTTGCTCGGTGGAGTCAAAGCTGTTTGGAAACCAAATCCATGATGTGTTTTTCTCTTATCAGTCCAAAGCCTTTTCCTTCAACTTCTCATTCACAATGTAAATAACAACAATGGATGCCAAACTTTTATTTAAGAACTATACAAAAGCAAATGAAAAATTCTACTCAAAGCCCCGGCTTGGATTGAGCGCGGGCCTGTGAACCAATCAGGGTTCGATTCCCAGTCAGGGCACATACCTGGGTTGCAGGCCGGTTCCCTGCAGGCCAATTCCCAGCAGGGGGACCCACCAAAGGCAACCATACATTGATGTTTCTCTCCTTCTCTCCTTCCCTTCCCCTCTAAAGATAAATAAATAAAATCTTTTAAAAAATTCTACTCAAGCACTATGGTGTTTATATTTTATGTATCAACTTGACTAGGCCACAGGGTGCCCAGATATTTGGTCAACTGTTCTAGATGTTTCTGTAAGAGTACTTTTGGATGAGAAGATTTAACTCATTAGCTTGAGTAAAGTAGATTGACCTCCCTAACATGGGCGGGCCTCATCCAGTCGGTTAAAGGCCTGAATAGAACCAAAGGGCTGACCCTTCCCCTAGTGATATTCTTCCTGCCAGACAGCCTTCAAACGAGACACCCGCTTTTTCCCACGTTCAGGCTCAAACTGAACGTCAGTCCTCCCTGCGTCTCAAGCCTGTCGGCCTTCACGCTGGGATTATGCCGTAGGCTCTCCTGGGTCTTGGGCCTCCAGACTGTGGCAGGAACTAGATCACTGGCCCCCCTGGATCCCTCCAGTTTGGGTTGGGCAGAACTGAGTGCCCATCTGCACACTGAGAGCTAGTCTCTGCAAAAAGAGGCCAGACCAGACATATGGTATGACTTGAAAGAGACTAGACTTCTTTCTGCAATCCACACCACAAAATCAGATTCATTATTTTATCCTCACACCTGGTCTATCAAATTCCTATTTAAAATCATTATTCTCCGACCCAAGGGAAGAGTGTGCTACACAAACAGTCAAGTCTTCCAGTTTCATGTCTTATGGGGGAAAAGACCCCATTGGTAGTTAAAACTGCCACTTTTTCTAGCTGGGCCTCTCTGAATCTCAGAAAGATGTGCAAAATGGCCGCGGCAACAGACTGACTCACCCACAGCCGTCTTTGCCGGGCCACACGCAGCTGGCCTGCTGTTTGAAGTCGTGCTTCCCAGCTCCCTGACTGCTCCCAAGGCTTTTGGGGATTCCAGCTACCACAGTTAAAGTCCCTGTGCCTTCCCTTGGCTGGGTGGCTCAGTTGGTTGAAGCATCATCCTGTACACCAAAAGGTTGAAGGTTCGATTCCCAGTCAGGGCACATACATAGGTAGCAGGTTCAATCCCCAGTTGGGGCACTTATGGGAGGCAACTGATGGATGTTTCTCTCTCACATTGATGTCTCTCTCTCTCTCTCTCAAATCAATACACATATCCTTCAATAAGGATTAAAAATAAAATAAAGTAAGTAAAGTCCCTGTACCTGGTTATCACTAACAAGTAAATTAGCTTTGGAAACATGTGCATTAGCTCTGGATATCATGGAACTACACTGTGAACAGCACCAAGGAAATAGAAAAGGAGAGTATGTTTTATCTCCTGTCCTCCTCACCCGTTAGTCCAGAAGGATGAAGAAAGAATGTTTGACCCAAAATATGTTTACTTTTAAAAAACTGGCTTTGAGGGCTTAGGGCCTGAACTAAATAAAAAAGAGAAAGAGAGAGAGAGAAAAGCAATTCTTGTCGAGATAAGTCAGGGACCGGGTCTGGTAACCCCACGACTAAAAGCCGGAGCGCAGGGTGAGGTCGGACGAAGTCCTCCTAAAGAGCGCTTCGGATGGAGGACGCTGTATCTCAGTGGGGCACCTTCAACATCACCGCCTTCACCTAATCTGGTTGTTCATTTGGTTTGCAAGGGTTCTCCCAGGGCAGTGGGAACTTCGAGTCCGCAGCAGGAGACGGGGGTTTAGAACTGGGAGATAAGTGGCATGAATAGAAGCCACAAAAGGGTCTGAATTCGGGGAGAGAAGATGTGCTGTTCCAGAATCCAACGTTGGGCCGGAGCACGAGGCTGGATGGGCAGGGGAGCAGGCAATGAGGCACCTTCTTAAAAATAAGGAACCTTGAGCCCCTGGAGGGCGGGGCCAACGTCAGGGGGCCAAGGCAGGGTCAAGTCCCTGTGTGGGGAAAGCTCTGGTGCCTGAGGGGGCAGCAGGGAAGAGTCCACCCTCAGGGCCACATCTCCATTAGCGTGGCCTTTTCCATCTGGCTTGGGGACAATTGACTCCTCTGATTTCTGGAGTTCTGAACAGACAATTAGAGGAGCCGTGTTTTTCCCTTCATCGTGAAGGCAAGGTTCAAAGAAAGGGCGGAGGGGGCCAGAGAACGTGTGGGTGAAAGTAAAAATGTGGGATTTGTCGGTCACATTGTAGAAGGAGATGATTCCTGCTTCGTAGTCCAGGAAAATCCCCACGCAGCGCGGCGGCTCTTTCAGACGGAAGGAGGTCTGTGGAGATGTGAGAGCTTCATACTGGTTCCCACGGCTCTGCCGCATAAGCCAGTGTCCGTTGGCGGGCGAGGCCGTGACCTTCCCCTTCCTGCTCACTGACTCGCTGCACACCCCCAGGATCCATTTGGTCTTGTCTCCCACGTTCACCTCCCAGTAGTGACAACCAGCTACGAAGTACTCAGAGCCCAGGACACTGACGACGAAATCAAACCTCTGGGGGTTATCAAGCACAGGCTGCCTTCTGTCTCCGAGCTTCACGCACCTGCGGTCCTCAGACAGGATGAGTTTGGGATGCGCCGTGTCGGGGTCCAGGGTCACCGCCACTGCAGAGAGGCACAGAGAGGTGAGGTTGGGGGAGGCTAGGCCTCACAGGATCTTTGGGTAGTTTTGGAGGGAAGGATACTCCCTAGGTCTGCACACCTGTCACTGACCCATTTCAGTTCCTGATTCCCTCTACCCTGTGTGTCCTGGAACCAAAGAAAAGCGTCCTGCAGTCTCCCAGAGACACTCCTGGTCAGGTACTAAGTAAAAGAAGACACAGTTTTTCTTCTGTCTGTGTAGACCCTTAATCCTTAGGAAATACTGCCTTTGTCTTCGATGGTCCGAAGGACACTACCGTATGATAATGAACATCGGCTCTGATGTGAGACCCAGGAGCCACACTGGAAGTCGGAGTCCCAGCTCTGCCACGCGCTCGTCATGTGACCTTGGGCACGTTATTCACCTCCAAACCTTAGTTTCTCCATCTCTAAGGTGGGGGGGTGGCAGCACCTGCGCTGTAGAGCTGTCCTGCTCCTTTCATGAGCTGACCCGCGAGGTAGTGCCTCCTTCACACCGTGAGGGGACGATGCTCATCTTGTCAACTAAATGATCGCATATAATTATTACTTTTAAATGTTAATACAGAAAGGATTCTTCCTTAAAATTGTGGGAGGTCATGGTGAGTCACCCTCCTACCCCCAGTACAGAAAACAGGCTCTTCTTGGAGAGTCAAATCCTTGAAGTGCGTACTCTGCCGAGGTGGCGGGAATAAGCCAGGCCTTGAGTGCGAGAAGGGTTTGTGTGTTCCCAGAATGTCAACCAACGTGACCTGGTGTGCCCCCAGGGGCCCACTCGTCAGTTCTGCTGTACCTGCCCGAAGGAAGATGGCGCGAACAAAAGGGAGATGAACAGCCTGGAAAATGGATGAGGACCCAAGCAGTGAAACTAACATCTCATTGACACAGCAAAAAAAAGCGAATATTTAGGAATAAATTAAAAGAGACACGTGCAAATCTTTTAGAATAAAACTATGAAAACCTTTGTAGTCTACAATGTCGGGGCACCTGCCCAAGCCATTCCCTGCTCCAAGAATCTCCGTCGCCAACCCCCAGGAAGACTGATCTGCAGAGCAGGAAGAGCATGGCAGATGAGCAGAGAAGGGAGCACTGGCTGTTTGCCCAGCTATGGGGTAAGAAAGGCTTCCAAAACCTGAAAGCACAGAGGACACTACACAGGGAAAATTTTAAAAATTTGACTACCTAGCCCTGGCTAATATAGCTCAGTGGATTGAGCACAGGTTGCAAAACAAATGGTCACCAGTTCGATTCCCAGTCAAGGCACATGCCTGGGTTGCAGGCCAGGTCCCCGGTGGGGGCCACATGAGAGGCAACCACATGCTGATGTTTCTCTTCCTCTCTTTCTCCCTCCCTTCTCCTCTCTCTAAAAGCAAATAATAAAATCTTTAAAAATGTTTTGACTACCTAAAAATAAGACACTCATGCGTCAAAAAAGTAATATAAGGAAATTAAAACACAAATGAAAAACTCAGAAACATAATTTGTGACAAATAGAATGAAAAGTTTCTACGCTTTATATAGAAAGGATACTCATAAACCAAAAAGGAGCCAGAATAGACAGAAGAGCAGACAAGTCACCGGGAAGGCACACAAATAAACGACAAATTTTCTAAGTCCAACTGTGATCCTCCCCCAAAGTCACAAAGATTTTTAAAATTTTGATAAGTAGATAAACAGGTTTGATTTAAAAAAAAAAAAAAACCAGTCTGCCTTCCAAAGGGGCCGAACGTGGGGCTCTGCGGTGCGATGGACCCCACTGGACTCACCGAAGTGCAGCCGGGCCCTCCTCCAGCCTGAAAGACGAAAAGCGACCGTGAACGCGACGGAGACACAGAGAACCCAGGGGGCGGGGTCGAACTCGGGGACGGTGCACCTCACCTGAGTCGGCGGCAGCTCTTTTCAACTCTGTAAAAAAAGAAACGAGAGGGGTGAGCGATCACGGAGAATAGAGAGTCAACAGGAGAGAAGTTGGTTCAAAAGTGTTAAGAACGCGGAAAACTTACTCAGTTCACTCCGGAGTTTCTCTAAAGAATAAAAACAGTTGGACAGATCAGAACGAGCGCTTCCATCTTTGCGTAAAGTCGCGCCGCATCCCAACCACCTTCCCACATCAGACCCCGCTAGCTGTCCCCTGAATGTCATGACCCTGCTTGCACTGCAGCGGCTCCCAGCCGTGCACCAGGACTCCCCAGAGACACTGCACTGGGTCAGCAAATCACTAAGTGGGCCAGGCCTGACTACGACTCATTAAATACCACATCTCACACGCCCCGGTAATGGCGGTCTGCATGTATGTGGATGCTGAGAGAGAAGAAGAAACCATAAGTTCATTTAAAACTATCGCTGGGTTTCAATTAGATTTTCTTATGTATATGTATTAAGGTAAAATAAACAGACATGCCATGTCTGAACTTTTTTCTTTTTTTTTTTTTTTTTGCAATAAAGAGGGTCTCTTACACGAGAAACCCTGCCCCACATTCAGTTTAGTGAGGGTCCATCCACCTTGGATCCCACACGAGGGAATGTCACGCCTGGTGATTAAAGGGTCTCCAGACGGCTTCCCCTAGGGGAGCTACATCTCTTCTTGGTTAAACGTTTCCCATTTAGAGACTAGGTGACTGTTGTACAGGAAAGGGAAGCAGGAAATATTTGAGAAAAGAGACCACTGAGAGCCAAGAAATCTCCAACCCTACGGCTTGAAGTACCCCCCCACCCCGTCTCCTCTGCCTCTGGAAGGAAAACTGAGACAGACACCCATCCTGAAGCAAAGATGTTGGAAGTAGGTCTGTGCTGCGGACGAGAACTTACTGAGGGCTTTATGGAGCCTTCCTGAAAAACAAACAGAAAAAGGCATGAGTGAGCAGATGCTCTTCCCGGGTTCAGGGACACCTGAACCCAGGAAGGCTCAGCCCTCTGTCCCCCACAGGGAAAGGATGATGTCCCCATCAGCTGCTAGAGTGGTCACGCCTCTGCCCTTCCCTTCCGTCTGCTTTCACTTCCCCTGTCTCCATGAGGTTTCCGTGTGTCTGTAACTGTGTGTACATGACTGTGCACCTTGCTGCCCTTTAATTACCTCCTTCCTATTTACTATATCCACAGTGGAGGCCTCACGCTGACTTGTGCACATGGCTTTACTATTCTCTACGGTAACTCCCCTGAAGTCCTGTGGAGAGATTCACAGACTTAGAGGTTCCAGATGGTTTGGGGACATGTGTGAAGGCTTCGCACGCTTCAGGGGAGTACTTGTGGCTTCTTCAGAGGGGCCATCCTGTCCGTATTTTCCCTAGCAGTGGCCCTGGCAGAGAACTGAAGTTCTACATTTGAATCCACTGCCAGGTCCGTGCTAAGGGCTGGGCATGTGTTAGGTGCTGGGGCAGTGAAGCTAAACATGACATGGCCCCTGAGGAGCTCTTGGCTTATGTTTATGTTACTGTTATTAATATAAATAATGTTATAGTTATGTAATGTTAAGTATAATATTATTTATATTATTTATAGATGATATAGATGTATTGTATTTCCACTACTAATAACCTCCATTTATTGTGTCTTATTCTCATAATGAGGTAGCCACTGAATCCTCTCGACAATGTGCGGTGCGTGTAATAATTATCCACCTTCTCCAGAGTGGTGGTCCGAGGCTCAGGGGGACGTGGACACTTGCCCAGGCCATCCAGTTAGTAAGTGGCCAAGAAGGCAGGATTCGAGCCCAAGCCTGTCCGACTCCCAGTCGGAGGCCTTCCCCACTGCCCGGCGCACGCTGCGCCTCTGCCCTTGGACAGAACAGCCGCAGAGTCGGTCCCTGCAGGGTGCACGCCCACGCTCCCCCCACTGGGAGGAGAGGTAAGGGGAGAGGAGAGGAGAGGCCCAAATCACTGCCCGTGGAGCCGTGTCTGAGCCCATGACCTGTCTCTCGGCTACATTTTCACAGGGCAGGGACCCGGCCTCTTTGTGGTGCCTTAGGCGTCTAGCGTTTACCCTCAGTGGCCCAGAGCAGATATGTGATTTATGAAGATGAAGTGGCAAGAAGGGGACAGAGTTCCAGGTACTGTGATAGGAGAGGTTTTTTAAGTTGTCCCTTTTAATCCTGAAAAAAATCGGGTGAGGGGATTCATTAGCCCCGTTTTACGGATGAGGAAACCAGAGCTCACAGCAGTGAAGCGACACAGCCAAGGCGGACCAGGCAGTGAGCTGACCAGGTGTCGCTGACCCCAGAGCCTGTGACGCGCCCAGATGGGCATATGCACATATTTTTAAATAGAATATAGATCTTCCTTTTTAGATGATTGGTGGAAAGGCTGATAAAGGGAGCGTGAGATAATTCAGACCTATGAATTTTTACCATGAGCCTCCCCTGACCCACTACCATCAACCCCGAAACCCCTTCCAACTGGAAGATAAATTCCAATCATATGAATGGAGGATATGCGGGTGCACCTGTATAACGTATGTGTAATGATAGACTATCAGCACTTGTATACAAGGAGAATGAATATGTTGTTTATTCCCTACCCCTTGTTCTATACACGTAATTACCTTTTTCTCTGGCATGGTCTGAGAGAAGATTTTCTAGAGGGAGAAAAGTTTAAAAAACGATGATATTCTATGTCATTACCTTGAAGGTCCCTGATTTCTGCTGATTTTTACCTGCTCTTGAACCTGTCCACTTCTGTCCCACCTCCGCCGCCTCGATCCAGGCCCTCATCATCACTCATCCAGGTGACAGAACTAGTAGCCCGAACTGCCCCCAATCCTGTCTCGCTACTTCTGGTGCCTTCTGCAGCCAGAGAGAGCTTCTCGGAGACATCCATCCCACTCACTCCTTTACTATTGCCCCAAGGAGAAAGATGAAGTCCTTCACTCCACCCACAAGGCCTCAGGCCACCGGGCCCCTGTCTAACTGCGCAGCCTGGTCCGGTCACCTTTCCCCTCCCCTCTGCCTTGTGCTTCTTTCTCAAGCCGTTCTTCCCGGATAGCTTTCTGTCCCCTCTTCCCCCTGCCTGTCTGTCCTCCACATCAAACATCACTTCCTCTGTGGACTCCTCTTCTGTCCCTGAAGCTCAGTCGGCACCTCCTGCTCATAATCCTCACAGCTCCCAGAACTCCCGTTCGTGGCGTTTGTACCGTGGTACTTTCACCTTCACCTGCACAATTATTTAATTCACGTATAGCTCCCTGGCTGGACTGCAAGCTCCGGGAGAGCAAGGACTGTCTGCTTTTACTCACCATTGCACCCCCGGCATTTAGCGCAGTCCAGGGCACTTTAGTACACAGTTATCAATTATTTGTCGAATGAATAAAAGCCTCCCCCATGTTCAGCCTACACGACTCCCACAGAATAAAATCAAGCAATGAGTCCACAGACAAAAATCATCAAACACACTGAAAGGTAAGCCATCGCAAGTCAGAGTCAGCAGAGCCTGGAAAGGACGGGTGTAGAACCCACATCAAAAATAGCAAAAATAGCAGACGTCTGGATTTTCAGGTGCACAATTTAGATTAGTGGGCGCTGGAGGCACAAAAATGAGTAAAACACAGACACATTCCCCCCTCTTCCAGGACACTTACCTACCTCCATCGCCTGTTCATAGAGAAGCTTCTCTGGAAGGGGAGAGAGACAGAGAGGTCAGCTCAGTCTAAGGAAGGGTTTCTTCTAACAGGCAGTGTTGTCCGAGGACAACGGACTGCCTGAGGGGGACTTTGCTCCCTGTCACTGCTGATGTGTGACCATTTGAAAGGGTCTTTCAACCATTAGGTGGGAAAAGGGGTGTTGGATTATGTGCCTTTCAAGGTGCCGTACAACCCCGAGATCCTGTGAAATGCAATCATATTTATGAGGGTTTCATCCAAGGGATAGAATTGGATTTTTTAATTAATTAGAAGGCTGGCACGATCAGCTGTTTTTAATTTCTCAGAAGGTGAGAATTCACAGCTCTTCCCAGGTTTCCTGCAGATTCTGTGCCCTTCTCTGCAGTATGAGTCCCGGAGCCTTGTTCTCCCAGTTTCCTCCCAGGGTCTCTCCAACCTGCACCGCCACGTCTGCGTCTCCTCGCCCCCAGCCTTTTCCCAGAGAAGCCGTCACGTCTGCGTCTCCTCGCCCCCAGCCTTTTCCCAGAGAAGCCGTCACGTCTGCGTCTCCTCGCCCCCAGCCTTTTCCCAGAGAAGCCGTCACGTCTGCGTCTCCTCGCCCCCAGCCTTTTCCCAGAGAAGCCGCAGCCCCACTTCCTGCCACCCCGCGCTCCCTGACCACTCAGTTACCTCTTGATCTTCTTTGCTTCCAGAGGAAGCAAACGCCCACCACAATGAGAAGTCCCAGGACAGGCAGGATCACAGCAAGAGCCACTTCTGAGGAGGAGATCCTCCCTGGAGATGGGGCTGGAACGAGACCACAACGACCACCCTCACCAGATGCCTCAGGGCTTCTTCCTGGCCACCTCTTATGGAAGATGGCTCAGGCACGTCCCAACTGTCTCCGTCGCCTCCAGGGAGAGACTTCCAGCCAAGGCTGGCGAGGCTCTTGGCTTCTCTCAGTAACTCAAACCCTGGATAACTCAGGGATGACTTTCAAGTGACATGTTCATCTCTCAGGACTGGTTTCCATGGTCCTGCCTAAAGACAGTGGGTTAAACTCAGCTCCCCAATCACAACCTCACCCCGCTCTGTAATTCAGTGGAAGAACTATCCAAGTTCTTTGAAGAACTGGAGGTGCTTCCTCAGCAATCACCTGCAGTCTCCTCATGAGCGTCTCCTGCTTGCGTTTCAAACCCTCACTCTGCTGTGGACCAGTAATCAGCGACCCCTTTACCCTGAGCCACATCGGCAGGGCAAAACAATTTCTGTGGGCCTACAGCTAGAGGCCTAAAGCCCAGGCAGGAGTGCTCACTTTGGCAGCACTTATACTAAAATTGGAATGATACGGAGAAGATTAGCATGGCCCCTGCGTAAGGATGACACGCACATTCGTGAAGCATTCATTTCAAGGGTCTTTCAAAGGCTGATAAACCCTTTGACCCATTAATTCTACTTCTGGAAACATATTCTAAGAAAATAATCCGAATCATTTCCCAAATTACATGCAGTGATGCTCACTGCACTGTTAGAGGAAAAACGGAAACTATCCCAATGTCAGGAAATGGGGCTTTGAGCCTTGGCTGGTGGGGCTCAGTTAGAGGGGCTCAGCTGGAGGGGCATTGTCTGGGAAAGTGACAGGTGGTGGGTTCGGTCCCTGGTCGGGGTGCGCTCTAGAGGCAACCGATTGGTTTTTATCTGTCACCTCGATGTTTCTCTCCCTCTCTTTGTCCCTCCCTCCCCCTCTCTCTAAAAATAAATAAAATCTTTAAAACAACAAGGCCCTGGCTGGCGTAGCTCAGTGGACTGAGCATGGGCCTGCGAACCAAAGGATCACGGTTTGATTCCCAGTCAGGGCACATGCCTGGGTTGCAGGCCAGTTCCCAGCAGGGGACACACGAGAGACAACCATACATTGATATTTCTCTCCCTCTGTCCTTCCCTTCCCCTCTAAAGATAAATAAATAAAATGTAAAAAAAAAACATTAAAAAAGTTCGCTTCGTTTAAAAATAATAATAAATAAATAAATAACCACAGGGCTTTGATTAATTTTATTAGGCTATACCCGCACAATGAACTACTATGCAGCCCTTGAAGATCGTGTTGCAGAGAACTACTTAAGGACTCGGGCAGAAGTGCTCACAGCCTTGCAGGTGGAGGGGGAACCGCCCTAAGCAGAAGAACAGGTATACAGAGCAACTCACACTCAGAGGAACTCGCATGGAAGAAATTCCTAAAAGGCATGTTAGCAGTAGGTCTCTCCCATTTATGAGAGGCCTTTTGTTGTTTCTTTAAAATAGTCTGTATTTTTACAGTTTTCTACAGTAAACGTGTTATTCTTAGTACTTAAAAAACTCAAAGGTTCTTTATAAAGTTTCCACGATGGTCAGAGTTTTCTCTGGAGCCGCCGGGGCCTTCGAACCTGTTTTCTGCCCCAGCCTTTACCTGCCACGACCATGGCTGCGCTCTTCTCTTGGCCAAGCGCCACGTTGCGGATGGCGCAGGACACGTTGCCCACAGTGCTGTCCTTGACTTTGCTGGATATCGCTGTTTCGAAGAGCCCGGCTTGGTCCAGGGAAGAGGTCTCGGTCTCCGATGGAAGCGCCTTGCCTTGAGGGTCTCTCCACTCGGCCCGAGGCCTTGGGAACCATCCCACCGACCTGCACACCAGCTGGATCCATCCAGCGTCGAAGCCCTTCACGTGGATGTAAGGATCGGAGCCTAGAACTGGAAAGGAAAGCTGCCTGCCAGAGCCTAGGCAAGAGCCGGGTCCTGGCCGGAGCCGGGTCCTGGCCGGAGCCCTCTACTCGGTGCCACGGCCGCCCGAGGTGGGCAGGGCGCGGGGCTCTCCGATGCACTTGAATGCGCGCCCTCTCCCCACCCCGCCTGGCGCCTCCCAAAGCGACGAGACAGGCTCTGACGGCGACCTGGGACCCCTCCAAATCCACCTCTACCAGTAACGGCATCCCCAAATCCACTCCCCTTCGAACAATGACTAACCTGCCACCTGCAGATTCACGGTGCCCTCCCGACTCAAGTTTCCAATCTGGACCCGACAGCGGTAGGGCCCTCGGTCCTCCAGCCGGACCGCGCGGATCTCCAAAGAGACGTTTCCCAGGCGGCCGTCTCTCAGGAGCGCCGTCCTCCCCTTGTATCCCGCCACCACGTCTTCCAGGCGGTCTCCCGCGTCCCGGAACACGTGAACCACCTGGGCGGGCCCGGGAGTCGGGGTCCGCAGCCAGCGCACCTCGGTGACGTCCTCGAACGACCACAGGGTGAGGGGACAGAGCAGCCTGGCTGTGCCCCCTAGCGGGGCCAGGTGGAGCCGGTCGGAGTCCCCTGTGCGGTGAAGACAGAAAAGGGACAACGCAGTCTGGGAGGGATGGGAGAGCGAGAGCTCGGCGAGGATGCAGGGGATTCTCGGGGAAGGAGAGAGCCTGGGAAGGTCATTGGAAAGCACTGCGGTTAGAGCAGAACCCCAGAAGAAAGGAAGCCTGTCGCCAGGCCTCTGATTCTCGGGACTCCTTGCTCAGAACCGCCCCCCCCCCCGCAAGGAAAGAGAGGCAGGGCCTCCTACCTGACAGGTGTGCGGGCAGCTGGAGGAAGACGAGGGCGAGGAGGCAGCCCGAGAGCCAAGGGGAACTTGCCGTCTCCATTTGAACTAGGAGGACAGACAGGGACACGCCGGAGAGGGTCCGTGAGCTGGACGCGGGAGGAATACAGCCTCGGGGTGCGGCGGAGGGTGCGGGGCAGGCGCTCAGGAATCACACAGGCTGGTGTTCAAATCCCAGCTCTGCTACTTACTCCGTGTAACATTGTGACTCAGCTTCCCCAAGACTCTATCTTTCCATCTTTAAAATGGTTATCAGTGTGCCTCCCTGCAGGGTTTTTGTGAGCACTGAAGGAGGAGCGTGCTGAACACAGAGGCTGGCCTCACGGTTGGGCCTGTGAGCTTGTGAGTGAGAATGACGGTGCGGAGGAGGTGGGTGCGGACCGAGGGGGAGACACTGAGTGTGCCCCGGAAGGCACAGGCGAGAGTCTGGAAGGCTGAGAACTTATCCCTGGAGCTAACCTGGTTAACACGGGAGTACTGGCCTCTTTTTGCATTTAATGCCCCAGGCCAGGTTTGGGAAATGCTAAGGGCCCATCGTCCACCCACAGTGGGGCCTGGAGCTCTTCCCTGACTGCCTTTTCAATTTGACCCTTGAGAAAGAGCAAACCAAGGCAGCGAGGTCCCTTCATTTCATCCTGAAGGCACCGATCCTACAAACTCAGGGTCTGGAGTTAGAAAGACCTGGGTTCAAGTGTCAGCTCACCCAGGGGCTACACCAGCTCTGTGTCCCTGGAAAGTTGTATAAATCCCTGGAGGGGGCCTCCAGGTCTATAAACAGGGAACTGTCTTCACAGGGACTGTGAGGACTCAAAGGGGGTTCAACCTTGGCTGGTGTGGCTCAGTGGATTGAGCGAGGGCTGTGAACCAATCGAGGTTCGATTCCTAGTCAGGGCACATACCTGGGTTGCAGGCCAGGTCCCCAGTAGGGGGCATGTGAGAGGCAACCACACATTGATGTTTCTCTCCCTCTCTTTCCCCTTCTCCCCCCTTCTCTCTAAAAATGAATAAATAACATCTTTTTTTTAAAAGAGGATTCAAAGGCATGTGAAGCACTTGCCACCAATGTCTGGCAGAACACATGCTCAGTAAATGAGCTGTGGCCCCTGAGAGGCGTGGGGCCCTGAGGCCACAGAGAAGCCCTAAATGGTTCCCCACCCACCCGACTGCCTGAAATTCCCACCGCAGAAAACTGGTCTTTCACCACCATCGGGAAGAAGTTTAAATGTAAAAAGACACAAGGGAGAGATGATCATCTCCTAAATTCTCTCCAAGACTGCAAATCTTTTCCAAAGAAGGGGGTCTTTGTAAAAGTTATCAGGCCAAGTCCTTAAAGGTCTTGGAACAGGGCAAAGATGGGAGCTGGAGGAGGTGGGTCTGTCAACAAGAGGTCGAGAAACTGAAGATGGACTTGGGCTTTGAACACGTCTCCAGGGCTGTTTTTCTTGTGGCCGGCAGCACGCTGCTTTGGGGGTGTTTTTGTTTTTCAGTCCTGATGCATATGGTTCACTCCTCTAATCCCCCAATGTTGCAAATGGCACCATACCACCAGGACACAGTGTGGTTAGGATTGCCGTTGGGACCTTTTTTTTTTTGCCTTGATCCTATCCATCTTTCTGCAGGTTGCCAGCTACTCAGAAACTGAACAGGAGAAACTAGGTAAATGAGAAAATCTGTCTTTTCTTTGTAGGTGAGAGTAGGCAGGGCCCAGGATCCCCTGGAGTTGCCCCAGTCCTCCAGACCCTCAGTTCAAAGGTGATTCTGTAACGCGCCCGGGGTGGGCGTGGCCAGAACCACACGCAGCTCCAAACTGAACTGGGGCGCCTGAAATCAAATGAGAGGAGCCCTCCCCCCGACCGTGGCCCTGTCTTCCTAAATTCAACTTGTTGATTAACTCAAGAGGATGGGGTCTAAAGTCGGCCTGGGGCCAAGCCCTGGCTCTGCCGTTGCCTGGCTGTGCGACCTTAGACGGTTTAGTTTACTCCTTCCAGCCTCCTCTCATTCACACATGAAATGAACTCAGTAACAGCGCCTCCACTGTGGGTAGGGCTACAGCAAGGAAGCATAGAAAATACATGTGAAGTGGTTTGTGCCAGGTTCTAAGAATAAAAAGGCAAATGAGGTGCTTCCATCAGATCGCTACTCTGTGTAACGAGGGCAAGTGAGGTGGCTTTAGCAGAGGAGTCTCCCTGGAGCTCGTTATCAAGTTACCGGTTGATGGTAAGCAGCCATAGGAGCAAACTAACCTGGGAGACAATGACATCAGAAAGAGGACTTTTGCTCACTAGTCATCAGAGAAATGCAGTCAGATAGGATTCTGTCTTCCTTCATATTATCAAATATTAGAAAAAATAATACTCAGAGTTATCATACATGTGGGCAAAATGGCTCTCCTGTCGATCGCCGAACAACCTTCACAAGGATAATTGAGGAATAAGTATCAAACGATTTACAAATATGCAAAAGTTTTAATCCAGCAATTTTACTTCCAGAAAAGAATCTTATGAAACGAATAAGGACGTGCGCAAGGATTTGATGGTGAGGACGCTCATCACAAAATAATTTACAAAAAGGAAAAACTGAAAACAACCTACAAGTTCATTAAAATGGGAATGATTAACTAATTGCACATTCTTGCAATGAAATACTCTGTAGCATTTCATAGTCACATGATAGAACCATCTTTAAGAGCAATGGGAAATGTTCGCTGTAATCCAAACAATAACTTTAAAAAGCTCTGGACAGTATGATACAATTTAGGAAGCAGATGCTTAGAAAAAGGCAAGAGTGTTGCTCTTAAACAGTGGTTACTTCTAGGAGAGGGGAAAACACTAAGTTCACTTGAGAGCTCCAAGCAACTTAAGAAAACCCTGCAAACCTGCAAGCGATCAGTCTGAAAGCACAAAGCCCAGGTCCCGGAAAACAGTGAGGGCTGGATGAATGATAGCTGTAATAATCAATAATGATGATGATAATACCGTAATGAGTCCTTAGAAAAAGCCCATCCAGTCCCCTTGTCACTCCCCCCCCTTCTGTGCTCATTTCCCATCGCCCCATTTTGTCCTTTAAAACGTTCCCATGAGTAAGGAGAAAGGGGATAGTTTCTCCAATGAGCCTGAGCCCCCCTGAGAAAGTTAAAAGACTGAAAAGAGTGAAAGAGGAGAGAAAGGGGGACTTACCACCATAAGAATCAGGGGCCCTTTGTCCATCAGAGCCGGAGTCTCCAAGCTGTGGACACTCCCTCCGTCCACGCAGGGAGGTGAGGCATTAGGCAGAAGGATCAGGAGCGGCTCTGGGGGTGAGCCCGGGAGAAGTTCATCTTTTATTCTAATGTCCACAGCCCTCAGCCAGGGGCCCCCTCTGTCTGTCCCCCACACTCCCTTCTCGCTGTCCCTGTACACCAACAAGCCACACCCCGCCTGGCTGCCCCTGATAAAGGAACAGAGCAAAGAGGAGCCTCCCTAAAAAAAAAACGAGGGAAACTCCAAGTGCCACCGGGCGGGCGTGAAGGCCCCTCGGCCCTCGGCGCCCTTTCCCTCCCAAGCTAACTGCAGAGCGATCCCCTCTCACACGCTTTGACCCGACATCACCCTTTCTGAAAAGCTTGCTCCCATTTACTCTCCAAATCTGAGTAAAATCATAGACTGGTTTCAAAGCCAGCCACCAGTTAGCCACCTTCTTTAACTCCCTATCTCTGTCACCAGCTACCCCCTGATGTGTGCTTTCTGACAAGCACTCACTCACTTTCTACCACCTGTGATGAACCCTTTCCTGCCTATCTCGACAGCTTCTATAATATCCACAACCGTTTATTCATAACATCCGTAATTGTATCCTTGACAATGTACTATAAAAACAAAATAAGCAAAACAAAAACAGACTCATAGAAACAGAGGTCAAAGGGACGGTTATCAAAAGGGGGTGTGTGAGAGAAAGGATGAGCGTGAAAGTGAAGGGGAGTATAGTCAGTGACATTGTGGAAAGTGTACACGTGACAGACGATCACTAGAATGGGGGGTTGGTGGGGGGTGATCACATCGTAAGGTGTAAAAATGTCAAATCACTGTATTGTTCACCTGAAACTAATATAACCAATGTAAGGTCGTATACCAACTATACTTAAATAAAATATAAATTTAAACAACAGTTATTTCTGGAAAAGGCATTGAAGTTGATAAGAGAAGAGAGACAGAAATTTTATTTTTGCTCTTCATGGTTTTTACAAGGAGTACACATTACTTATTTTTAGATAGTAAAATATATATATAGGGGAAACCCCAATGCATACACTTTTATGTATTTTTTAAAATTATGTTTTATTGATTGTGCTTACATTTGTCCTGATTTCCCCCCTTTTGGCCCTCCTCCCCCCAGCACCACCCACTCCCTCAGGCGATCTCCACACCATTGTTCATGTCCATGCATACAACTTCTTTGCCTACTCCATTTCCTGTACTGTACTTTACACCCCCATGGCTATTCTGTAGCCACCTATTTGTACTTCTTATTCCTCTCACCTCTACACCCATTCCCCCACACCACCCTCCCACCTGGCAACCATCAAAACACTCTCCATATCCATGATTCTGTCTCTGTTCTTCTTGTTTGCTTAGTTTGATTTTTAGCTTCAATTGTTGATAGATATGTATTTTTTGGCCATTTTATTGTTCACAGTTTTGATCTTCTTCTTTTTCTTAAATAAGTCCCTTTAACATTTCATATAATAATGGTTTGCTGATGGTGAACTCCTTTAGTTTTTTCTTGTCTGGGAAGCTCTTTATCTGCCCTTTGATTCTAAATGATAGCTTTGCCATGTGGAGCAATCTTGGCTGTGGGTCTCTGCTTTTCGTGACTTTTAATATTTCTTGCCAATCCCTCTAGCCTGCAAAGTTTCTTAAGAAATAAGCTGATAGTCTTATGGGAACTCCCCTGCAGGTAACTAACTTCTTTTCTCTTGCTGCTCTTAAGATTCTCTCCTTATCTTTAACCTTTGGCATTTTAACTATGATGTGTCTTGGAGTGGGCTTCTTTGCATTCATCTTGTTTGGGACTCTCTGTGCTTCCTGGACTTGCGTGTCTATTTCCTTCACCAAATTAGGGAAGTTTTCTTTCATTATATGTTCAGTAGATTTCCAATTTCTTATTCTTTCTCTTCTCCTTCTGGCACTTCTATGATGCAAATATTGGACCACTTGAAGTTGTCCCAGAGGCTGCTTACACTATCCTCATGTATTCTGATTTCTTCTTGTTGTTCTGATTGGTTATTTTTGCTTCCTTATGTTCCAAATCATTGATTTAATTCTCAGCTTCATCCACTCTACTGTTGTTTCTCTGAAATTGTTCTTTATTTCAATTAGTGTAGTCTTTGTCTCTGGCTAGATCTTTTTTATGCTGTTAAGGTCTTCACTAAGTTTCTTGAACATCCTTATAACCTGTGTTTTGAACTCTGCATCTGAGAGATTGCTTATCTACATTTCATTTAGCTATTTTTCTGGAGTTTTATTTGTTCTTTTACTTAGGCCATGTTTCTTTGTCTCCTCATTTTTGCAGTCGCCCTGTACTTGTTTCTATGTATTAGGTAGAGCTGCTTTGAATCTGTGTCTTTGTAGTGTGGCCTAATGTAGATATATCACGTAGGGTCCAGTGGCACAGCCTCCCCTACTACTCATGCTGGGTACTCAAGGTGAGCCCTTTCTGTGGCCTGAGTACACCCTCCTCTTGTAGTTGAGCCTTGGTTGCTATTGGCAGATCAGTGAGAGAGATTTACCCAGGCCAGTCAGCTGCAAGGATTGGCTCTGACCACTTAACACCAACCTCTGCCCTCCACGGAGAATCAGCTGTGCAGGGGCAGGGTGGTGGTGCTCTGACATGGTCTGTAGCTGTCCACTTAGGTGTGCTGGTCCTTAGGTGCTGTTCTCAAGGTCCTGCAGGCCAACGTCAGCCCCCACTTGTGTTTTGCCTGGGGCCACCCTGCCTGAGCTATAAAGCAATACGAGATGGCTGCTACTTGTGCTAGGCTTGGAGTCTCCCAGGCAAAACTAAGCTGTGAATCTAGGCTGGCTGTTGGTAGTGCCAGGCCTGGGACTCACTGAGGCCAGCTGTTGCTTGTCTGATGGGATTTAGGAAGTTGTGATGTATGAGCCAATATCAGCCATTCATGTGGGAAAGCAGCTTGGGTGGGCCCATAATTTGGGTGGGGCAGAATCTCTGGGCATCTCCAAAGCAGATCAAACAGTGTTAGCCAGGTCGATGGAGTGTCAGTTACAGCATCAGCTTGCTGGCTCTGTAGCAGAAGGGTTTAGAAAAGGGACAATGGCCTCTGTTCACCTCGATGTCAGACACTTCATTTCCTCCCTGTATATCACTGGTGCCTTTCAAGCTGCTACCCTGGTGCTGGAGCTCAGAGGGAGTGAGTCTGAGGAGGTGAATCCATATGTGGGTTCTTTAAGAGGAACTGCTTGGGGTTCCAGCAGCTTCTTCCACCTACTCAATCCCTGCTGGTTTTTGCAGCCAGAAATTGTGGGGACTTATCTTCCCGGCACTGGAACCCTGGGTTGGGTGTCCTGGTGTGGGGCTGGGACTCCTTGCTACCAGGGTCTCCCTCCAAAAATTTTATCCACCACACATGGATGTGGGACCCGCCTGTTCTGCGCCTGCGCCCCTCCTACCAGTCTGGACAGATGTGGTTTCTTTAATTCCATAGTTGTCAGACTTCCATTCAGTTCAATTTCTGACAGTTCTGAGTGGTGGGTGTTCTATATTTTAGTTGTAATTTTGATGTGCTTGTGCGAAGGGGCCAGCCATGTCTACCTATGCTGCCATCTTGTTTCATGTATTTTTGAACATCACAAAAATGGAGCACATGGTACATAATTCTCTTAAATTTTCTTTTTTTACTCAACATTATTTCCTAAATCCAGCTGTCTCCTGTGGTGGCCCAAACTATGTCCCCTCAACCCACTCAATTTCAAAGTGGCTGACACTTGCATGCAAGCTGCCACCATGCCACCCCAAAGGCCACGGCAGCTACAGCGCTTGGCATGGCTGTCTGGCCCGTGTGCAGCCCAGGAGTTTAGGGAAGTTAATGCCTCGGGGGATCAATCTGCAGCGACCAGAGCTGGTGGAAAATGCTCTGGCCTCACAGCTTCAGGGGGCCAGTTCTGAACTGCACTTGTCACAATTCTCAGAGGGTTCCCAGTGGGACTGAGCACAGTAGCCCACAGTCATCAGTAGCTCAGTGATGCACATTTTATTGATTTTTCCTTCTTTCCTTCTTACTCCCCCCATTTCTGATCCCTGGGATCACCTCCTAAACATGGAAAGATTGTCTCACACTCTGCTTTGATTGGAGTACAAGTTAAGACACTGAAATTCATCCAGACGGATCCACAGAGCAGTAGGACATTCATTCACAGCTGCATTGTAAACCATTGCATGAGTATACCAACACGTTGTCCATTTCCTTGATGATAAAAATGTGGGTTGTTTCTGAGTTTTTGCTTTTACAAATGGTGCTGCTGTGAACATTCTTTTTTTAAATTTAACTGTTGTTCAAGTACAGTTTTCTGTCTTTTACTCCCATCCCAGCCCACCCCCGCAGTGCTCCCCGCCTCCTTCCCATGTCCACCCCCCCTAGTTGTTGTCCATGTGTCCTTTATACTTGTTCCTCTAAATCCCTCCCCTTTTCCCCTGAAATTCCCTCCCTTCTCCCCTCTGGTCCCTGTCAGCCTGTTCTCTATTTCACTGTCTTTGGTTATATTTTGCTTGCTTGTTTGTTTTGTTGATTAGCTTCCTGTTAAAGGTGAGATCATATGGTATTTGTCTTTCAACGCCTGGCTTATTTCACTCAGCATAATGCTTTCCAGTTCCATCCGTGTTGTTGAACATTCTTGATATATGTTTCCTGGTCCACACGTGCAAGAATTTCCCTGGGGCAGCAGTTCGCAATGTGTGGTCTATGAATTCTGGGAGTCCCTGACACCTTTTCGGAAGCCCCTGAGGATCATTCCATTCATTATAACACTAAGCCATTATTGGCCCTTTTTGTCATGTGACATTTTCATTGATGCTGCAAAAGCAATCATTTTTAAGGCTCTTGCATACACACACCTATATATATATATATCACAGCATTACCTCGCCTACCAAAATTGACAATAATTCATTGATATTATTTAATAACCAGTCTATGTTTACATGTTTTCAACGGGGTCAAAGGTCTTTTTGCACATGGTTTGTTTACACCCGCATCCAAGCAAAGTGCACACATTGCCCTTTTCAGTTAAGTTTTTTAAGCATTTTTATTTCACACTAATCATTCTGCCTTTCTTTAAATTTTTTTCTTATACTCTTGATTGTTGATAAAACTGGGTAATTTGTGC